CGGAAAACAGCCTGACCAGAGCTGCCGGACCGTTTTGGAGCCCTTGGGCTATGTCTTCGACATAGATAATCCTTCCTTGTTTGAGCTGAGGCAAAACCATCTCCAGGAACTTTGGATAAAGATGATAATAATCAAATCAAGCACATTGAAACCTTCCGTTCTAATCCGCTTCATGGTAATATGCAACAAGTTGGATACGCCTTTGGGCTGCTTGAGGTTGTACTGCGAGATCATTCCACATAGGGCACTTCGACCATGAAGCTTCATATTGAGTAGCACCGCATCCAACATCTTCCGCCCGACATTATCAAAATTGATGTCGATCCCCTCAGGGAAGTATCTAAAGATTCAAGATGGAAAAGTCTACTCAAGTCGGTTTCACGATAGTGCACGTATATTAACAGTGGTTAATTCGCTCGATAATCACTAGCATGTGCCTAACTAACCTTCTCAGTGCTGCATCTGGATCTGGTTCGTCCTTGTAGTTGAAAGCATTGTCTAATTCAAGCTTGTTCTTCAGCAAGTCAACCTATTTTGCAGAAGTAAAAATTAAATGAAGAGGCTAGCTAACAAAGATTGTTATACATTCTTTTTAGTGAAATGATGAGGATATACGTCCAACACACGATCACGCTCTTGAAAAGTAACCTCAAATTTGAGAAAGCCCACCATGCTTTTCAGATTAATTTATGATAGGATTGCTGTTGAAGTCTCAAGGTTCATGTTGACATAAATGTTTGTCTAGTACCGAAAAAAATATGAATATTGCAGATGCTAAACGTGTTTGGCAAACCAAATTAGCATCACGTCGGAGGTAAATGTTGCCTGAACAACTATCATCCGAAGAAATTCGAGATGTTAGATGAATGTGGGATGATTACCTTTTCTTTGCTACCGGCGCTGCCAACAACATAGCAACCAAATACTTTGGCAAACTGGCCAACAAGCCGACCAACTGCACCCGATGCCGCTGAAATGAAAACAGTCTCTCCTTTCTTGGGAGAGCATACCTCGAAAAACCCCGCGTAAGCTGTCATGCCTGCAAAGTTCAAGAATGTAGATGAAGTATAAAAAATTCTGCTGAAGCTAAAGAGTAGATTAGATATGGTTGCGGCAAACTCTCACTGGACAACCATACTCATCAGGAAAGAAAGCGACTTCTCATGGAAAGTCACTAATTGCATTGGGAAGTTCCCGACTCACACACTCCTTGCATAATTCAATCAACTAACAGAGCTGCAGAACTTGCAAAAGAAAAAAAAAACTGTTGAAAGTGTGCACCAACAAGAAGACTTTCAGCAAAAAAACAGAGTTCATTAACATTGAAAGAGCAAAAGACTTCAGATGATCAGAGACCGCACCCAAAAGACTGGTGCAGTAAGAGAGAGGAACATCGCCATGTTCGATCTTAAAGCAAGTCTCTGGTGCAGGAAGTATACTGTAATCCTCCAATCCGGTCATGCCCCAAACCAAATCGTCTTTCTTGAAATTCGGATGCCCAGATTCCAAAGCTCTTGCCACTTCCAATCCCGTAACAGGCTGCATAGATGTGTTGACATATGCGCAAACACATTTAGTGAACACAAATTTTGAAGCGATTCATTAGAACCATAAACACTATGCTTAAGGATCCAGTATCAGCTCTGGTTATTACGCAGTCATGTTCATTCTTGCTTCATTTCAGTTAATTCTGTATTTCTTTGTTCTATACCCCACGCAAGGTGCTTTCATCAGTCATCATGCCAACAGAAATGAATGGAAGCGATAAAAGCAAGTGCCGTCACTCATTAAATGTGACTCTCTACCATCAGACCGCACAAATGTAAAACATGCAAAATTCTCTACCATACAAGCGTAAAGTCGGTTCTTATGACGCACTAAATCCTCCATCACATTTTCAGGAACTATTCTTGATACATTGAGAACCATAGGTACCCTTTCAAAGGCGCCTCGAATTGGCTCCTAAGTTAGAGATTAGAAGAACATAACCGTAAACAGGAATAAGATATAAAGGAGAACAATCCTTGGGCATAATCACTGTTTTGACAAAAATGCAACACACAACCAGTCCTGAAACACTGTTTAGCCAACCTGAGATCAACAATCCAAGAACAGTAGCGAGCAAGAGCATGCAAAGTCAAATGCCTCGGAGACTAACGTAAAATGCCACGATTTACACTAGGTAACAAACATTAAACAATCCCAGAGCAAGTTCATCAACAAAAAATTTCATCTTCTTGTCATTCTTGTTTCTATTTCCAAAAAAAGTAAGAGCAAAAAAGAAAAAAAAAGAATTGAGGCGGACTCCCTGAACCAGGTTGGAAGGTGGCGAGATAGTTTTGAGCAGAGGCAGGGAGCTTCAGCATGCGGCCCCTCATGTAAGGATCGCAGGACAGGTAGAGATTCTTCACCAACACACCGTTGGAGCTTTCAGCGATGGCTCTCGTCAGTTTGATGGTCGATTCAGTCACCTCCATGTCCGACTCTTTAGGGAAGACGCCATTCGCGACGAAGTCCCTGAATATGACTCGCTTGTTCCTCACTGAGCCCCCATTCTATATCCCATCCTTTCTTATCTTTTCTTTTCTTCTCTCTCCACCCAAGAAGCTAAAAGTGAATAGGTATGGGTGGGTGTCTCCTTATGTAGACATTGAGTGATGTTTCTGAACTGCGAGTGGATGGAAACCTCTTATAGAGCACACACAACTGAAAGAACTCCACTTTCAGACCCGGTATCCGCCTATAACAAACCTGTGCATAATAGAAGAGACAAGTCTCACAACAAGACACGACCAAAACAACAATCACTAGGAAAATCAAGAAGCTGACAATTCATAAATGAAACAAACAACCAAGTGCAGCAACTCATGCATTAGATCAATATGGAAAAGCATGCACTCATGCTCCGTATGACCGTCTCACCCGGCTGAGAAACTTCATATTTGAAGGTAAAAGTTGGTTGGCATGCATGTCCACGCTGGGGAATGATTGCCATTGATTTGGACTGATCTTTGCCAGGTCCAATTCCTCCGAGGACTAAGATGACTTTCGTTGGAGATACCTTTTAAGGACAACGACACGGGTCGGTGGGTGTTGACCAGGTGCTTTTTAGTGCATTGACATCGATGCCGCTTTCGTGGATTCCCTTGTTATGCCATTTGGCCCTTGTCTCCACGCTCTACAGCTGATTTGCAACCTTTCGCCTGCCTTTATCTCCACCTCTATTCCTTTTTTCTCACCTAGATCGTCTCTTCCCAACAAAGTGGAAGAATGGTCCTAAGCAAGACTTTAAAAGGCTTCATCCCGGGCTCGCTCAAACCTTGATGTCCTTAGAATGTGAAACAGTTAGAGGGTATTCCCACTCTTTCCACAAGACAAAGATAGGAAGGGGATTGAGGGGAAGCAAAGTGTGCGGGTCTCGGCACATTAAAATAAGGTGTACATCCATGGAGCTTGCTGCCTCTTGTTGAAGTGTACAGGCTAGAAGGCCTTGCAGGAGCGCAAGCTCCCTTGGAGGTCTCACCATACGTGGCATGTAAATGATTCTCTAAATTAATTAATGAGCTTGAAAAAGATATGGCAATTGGTAGAGGTAAGACCTAAGTGGGTTCATAAAGAGTTTATGAAGTTTGTACTCATTGGTAGAATCTACTCGAAGTACAAATCTTAAAATTTGAGCCTAATCGGGTCGATTTGTTTGAGCTCTTACGAAATTTGGCTAGTGGAGCCAGCCCAAAATTTACTTTTAAAAGGTCGAGTTTAGTTTGGTTCAACTTTATGAGTAAGGTTTATGATATGTAATGTCATTGGGCGGTAATGATGATTGATACTTTCTTTATTAATTAATAGCTAGTAAAAGATCATGAAAGTTAACTAAATCAAATTTAAATAGGTTAGTCAAAGTAAGCTCATTAGTTTAGCTGACATGATTCACTCAATTAAATTGTTCACACATGCACAGGTGATGTCACATTGCATGAGGAAGGATCTGAATGACACCCACTTGTTGTCAATCCCCTCGAATGGGTTGACACAATCTTGACTCTAATTCAATGAACATTTACCATGAATTCGAGGAAAATATTTCCATCATCAATGAAAATATTTAGATATAAGTTATGGTCTATAATGAAAATATCTTTTAATGATTCGCTTTTTTAAGAGTTAAAAACGATTTTAATTAGGAAAATATTTTATAAATTGCTCTTTTATGGGAAAAAAATGGATGCAACATCACGTACATGCATCGCGAAACGGTTAAAACTATCAAAATATCTCTCTTATTTGTTTACTTACCTGTAATGTAATGGCTGTGACACACTAAGCGAGGAAAGGGGGAAGTTTGTGTTAATTATGATTCAAAGTTAATTTGAATTGGATTTGAAATTCTACACATAATTTAATTGTATAGAAACCCTGACCGAAGGTCCAAATTGGACTGTTGCCAACAGGATCGTCGGTGATGCGAGAGACTTCTTTTTCTCACTAAAGAAGAAGTCTATGTTGATGCCAAAGAAGTGTTCATAGCTTTTCCCGTAAAAATATTCTGTTGTCGAATTTGGTCTAGTGTGCATAGGAAGTGTGCTTTATGTACGTGAAAGAGAAGTCATCCAAGAGAGTAGCTGTGATTGAGCGATGGTAACCTAATCTTGGCCAATTATAGGAAAATCATCTCATGGATCTCTCCCCGTGAAAAAGACACACCACCAAACCACGATAATCCATTACTTTCAAGTTTTATTCCTGCGATTTATTTTTTACTCAAATTGTTTCGTTTGTTCACGTTTCCCAGGTAGTTGTCACAATTTGGTATCTCAAACTAGTTTTTTTTTTTTTTCGGACGGAAAACTAGTTTTATTTAAAAGAGATGACATGGTACAAGAAAGACACATTTTCATGGACATCTTAGGCAGGGATAGCATAAAATTTTATGCCTTATGTAGAGAACATATGTGCACGGAAAAGTACAGTAAGCGACTCATTCGCCGGAAACTACAACTATCTCTTCTCCAACGCTGCTACCGGAAAACAACCCAACCAGATGATCCCTTGACATAAAGACAAACAGAAAACAACCTCTTTCGAAAACACGAGAAAAAAAGAGACTAGGCGGACGACAAAGTACAGAAAGCTGACTCATTCGCGAGAAACCACTACCACTTGTTTCCCGACATTGCGACCTGAGAACAGCCTGACGAGAGCTGCCGGACCGTTCTTGAGCCCTTCAATGATGTCTTCTACGTACACAATCTTTCCCTCTTTGATCTGAGGCAATACCGTCTCCAGGAACTTCGGGTAGAGATGATAGTAATCGAACACCAAGAAACCTACCATTCGAACTGGCTTCAGTATAATGCTCAACAAGTTGTGTATGCCTTCGGGCTGCTCGAGGTTGTACTGTGAGATCATTCCACATGCCGCGATTCGGCCATGAAGTTTCATGTTGAGCAGCACCGCATCAAGCATCTTTCCGCCGACATTTTCGAAGTAGATATCGATCCCCTCAGGGAAGCATCTTAACATTTATGGCACAAAAAGTCAACTCGAGTCAGCTTCGGAAACAGGTACAAATTTTATATCATGGACAGCAGTCGCTCAATCATCATCATTACAATCATGGCTCACCTTTTCAGTGCTGCATCCAAATCCAGTTCCTCCTTGTAGTTGAAAGCATCATCGAATCTAAACTTGTTCTTCAGCAAATCAACCTTCTTCGCAAAAACAACGACTCTTTGAAGGAAACACTAACAAATGAAGGAAACACTAGACAAATGTAAGATGGTTACCTTCTCTTTGCTACCGGCGCTGCCAACAACATAACAACCAAACAACTTTGCAAACTGGCCAACAAGCTGACCAACAGCTCCTGATGCAGCCGATATGAAAACAGTCTCTCCTTTCTTAGGAGAGCATATCTCGAAAAACCCCACATAAGCTGTCAGGCCCGCCATGCCTGCAAAGTTCAGGTTTGTAGAAATTAGACGAGCATCCAAATTTTGCCGAAGCTAAAGAGTAGGATCGATATGGCCACGGCAAACTCTCACTAGACAACCATACTCATCCACAAGAGAAGCTAGCCCGTGGGAAATGTATTGACTTCACATGGAAAGTCACTAACTACATCGAGATATTGCCGACTTACACACTCATTGCCTAATTCGATCAACGAACACTGCTACAGAACATGCAAAAAGGACAACTGTTAATAGTGCGCAACAACAAGAAGACTTTCAGGGAAAAACAGAGTTGATTAACATTGAAAGAGCAAAAGACGTCAGACGATCAAAGAACGTACCCAAAAGACCGGTGTAGTAAGCGAGAGGAACATCAGTGTGCTCGATCTTAAAGCAAGTCTCTGGCTCATGAAGTAGACTGTACTCCTCCCATCCGGTCATGCCCCAAATCAAATCGCCTTTCGCGAAGTTCGGATGCCCAGATTCCAAAACTCTTGCCACTCCCAATCCCGTAATAGGCTGCATAGATTTGTTGATGCGCGCATACAAATTTAGCGAACACAAATTGCGAAGCGATTCGTTAGAATCACACAGTACGATTAAGGATCCAATGTACACTCTACTTATTACAGTCATTATCATTCTTGTTACATTTCAATCAAGTCTATATCTCTTTGTTCTATACCCCATGCAAGCTACTTTCATCTTCTTGTCATTTTTGTTTCTGTTTCCAAAATATATTCCTTCGTGGAGATCTTTTAAATGATTTGTGGATGTGTTCCCGGCAGTAAAACCCAGTGGGGTAGTTAGTCCGTTGGTAAGCATCGCTAGAGATCAATTTGAAAAAAGAAAGTAGTCTTTTGCAATGAACTTATTAAGAAGATCTAAGTCTTTCTCTAATTCTTTATCACAAATGTCCTCAGATCAAGGACCAGTAAATAGAGAAGAAATTAGCATAGAAGATTTTAATAAATCTATAGAGAATTGGATCATTCCAAAAATCAAGCTTAATCAAATTTATGAGCATTCAAAGTTTAAAATCTTCTGACATAATGATTATATCATTGTTACTGAAGAAAGAGATGTACCACTTTCTAATTCTTTTGCTTCAATACAACTTTTAAATAAAGATTCTATAAAGAAACATTCCCGGAAATGGAATTATATGCATATAGGTTTAGTACAGGTTGGTGCTAAACCTCTTACTAAAGAAGGCTTAAATACCTCTTTACTTCTTGTTTTAAGAGATGCGAGACTTTTAAAATATGACGAATCTATTCTTGGAGCTGTAGAAACAAGTTTATGCAGTGGACCAATTCATTTTGATAGTCATCCTGGTCTTACCGTTTCTCTTAAAGATAAAAATATTTTAAAATCTCTGACTCTTCAAATAAAAACTCAATTATTCTATAGCTGAAGGATCCATTCCTATAGCCCTTATTTACAGGATTTATTACAAAGTAATGAATTCTGCTTTTGGAAGTAAGGCTTTTAAATTATATTCCAATAGAGAAGCTCTTCTTTTACAAACAAATATTTCTAAAACTAATATTACCATTCCCAAAACCATTCCTTGGAATCAAATAACCCTTCATGATCAATGGGAATTAGAAAATCGAATTTCCCAACAAATTATTCAAAACTCTGATCCCACTAATGTTATTCAGCATCCTGAAGGAAGAGTGACTATACAATTTTCCAGAAGATCTGTTGATATCCCTAGGAGATCTTGTGACGTCAGATCAATTCCTTCTTGGCATTCCACTTCTTCTCGAAGATTTATAGACACTGTTCCTAACATTCCTTTGAATAATCCTAAGGAAGCATTTGCAAGTGCTCCCCCTCTTCCAAATAGCAGTGGTATAGATAATAGGTCGGGAATCTCCAGACCAGTTTATCAATATACTCCTAACTTCCCTGATCCAACTTTATCTGAAATGGAAGATCCTGAAATGAATATTTTAAAATCAGTTTTTGAACCAGATAAAATAATTTTAAATCAAGAATTTAATTCTTTCGAAAACAAACAAATCAGAGAATGGTTCTTTCAGAATTTTCAAAAACAAGCACTCAAAAACAAAAAAGAGTATTATGATTACATGATGCACCTAAGGGGGACCGGCGGACCCGTTATGCGACTAGACGAATCGGCGGGTTTGAAGTCAACGATATCAGATTGAGCTCAAATTTGGTCGGCTGAAGCGAAACGGCGTGCTGATCAATACTCACGCCTTTGGCCGTGACTAACGATGGATTTTCGCGATTCGAGATTGTTTAGATGGGTTTTTCTATTTTTTTAGTATTTTTTATGGGTTAATTTAGTAAAGGGTAGTTTCGTAATTTTACGTTTTGATGTTTCCTAATCCTAATAGGGCTTGGTTTGGGGTTATATAAACTTGTTTTAGGGTTTCTTTTCAGCAGACTTGGATATTTTTGATTTGATAATCATATTTGGAGGACGAATTGTTGTTCTGTCGAATTTTCTTATTCAGTCAATTTTTCTATCGCGTTTCGGCATCAATTGGTATCAGAGCACAGGTTGCTTGAATCAATGGCTGAACAGAATCGCGGTCGTGGACGGCGGGCTCGTGGTGGCCGGGGGCGTGGAGGCGTTCCTGAAGCAGACGATCAACCACGTCTAAGAGATCTGCGAGACGTAGAAATTGAAGAACAGAGAAGACGAATCCAGGATTTGGAGCGACAACTTGCGGAGGCGAGGTTGGGCGTTCAATCCGAAGAAGAAGCAGAATCTGAGGATCCATCCGATGATGAAGAGGAGGACGTAAACCCTTTTGGGGTTATGAACCAGGGGCGGAATCGAGGAGTACGACCTGGAAATCAGCGCTCTTCTCAAAATTTCGGAATAAAGATCGAGATTCCCGAATTTAATGGTAAGGCTATTCCTGATAAGTTTATTGATTGGTTGCATACGGTAGAACGGATTTTTGATCTTAAAGACCTAACTGAGGGGCAAAAAGTGAAGTTAGTGGCTATTAGGCTGCGAAAACATGCTTCGATTTGGTGGGAACACGTGAAAAAGCAACGCGCTAGAGAGGGAAAGCCGAAGGTGGATCGCTGGGATAAGATGAAAAAGTTATTGCAAATTTTTTTTTTGCCTACCCATTATAGGCAAGAGGCGTTTATCGAGTATCATAACGTCAAGCAAGGTGATAAAACAGTTGGGGAATTTACAGAAGAATTTGATTGCTTGCGGATGCGTTGTGATGTGGCGGAGGAAGACGAGCAGACAATTGCACGATATCTAGCAGGCTGCGATATGAGATCTCTGATGTTGTCCAATTACAACAGTATTGGACATATGAGAATGTGTGCAGACTAGCCCTAAAGGTGGAGGGGCAGCTTAAAAGAAAGAGAAGTAATTCTAAGTGGTCAGCAAAATAGCCCAAGTGGTCGATAAAGAATCCCAAGGAAAAGCGGGAACATCTCGTAAAGAATTCGACACCGGTCACGCTTAAGGATGTGAGTTCTAAACCTGCATCCAACGAGGGGCAGAGTAGTGCTGGAACTAGCAGGGGAGGAACTGCAGCCAAGCGGTGTTTCAAGTGTCAGGGATTCGGGCATTTTGCTGTTGATTGTCCGAACCGACATATTGTGATGCTTGTTGATAATCCAATTTTTTATGAAGGCCCAGTTTATGATGAATCTGAAGGCGAAGAAGAAGATGCGGATGCGGAACAGAAGAGATTATCTATGCCGATTCCGTGAGTCCCTAGTCGTTAGAAGAATATTAAATGTTGTCAGCGGATGATGAATCATGGCTTAGACATAATATTTTTCATACTAAGTGCACTAGTAGAGGAAAAGTATGCAGCATGATAATAGATGGTGGGAGTTGCGAGAATGTAGTGTCCACGACTATGGTGGAAAAGTTAGGGTTAAAAACAGAATATCATCCTCAACCATACAAGCTGTCGTGGCTTAGAAAAGGGAACGAGGTGAAGGTGAGCAAAAGGTGTCTTGTGCAATTTTCGATTGGAAAAAATTACATCGATGAGGTGTGGTGTGATGTAGTCCCAATGGATGCTTGCCATATTTTATTGGGGAGGCCGTGGCAGTTTGACAGAAAGACACAGCATGATGGTTTCAGAAATACTTATACCTTCAAGAAGGATGGCCGAACCATTACCCTAGGTCCTTCAGATTTGAGAAAAGAAGGGAAAAGTAATCTGCTTTCCAAATCAAAATTTCAAGAAGAGGCAGTGGACGCGCCTGAGCTTTTTGCCATTGTGGTGATGGAGCGGAATTCTGACAGTCCCGAAATTCCTATCCAAGTTTTGCCCTTGCTTGAGGAGTTTGCTGACGTCGTACCGGAAGAGTTGCCACCTGGGTTGCCGGGTGAGCACAATGTTTCTGGAACTTTTAATGTAGCAGATTTGTCACCTTACTACACTGAAGAGGAAAAAGACCCTTAAGAGATTGATAACAATGAAGGCGAAGCAGATTCGAGGACGAATCTTGCTCTAGCAGGGGAGGATGATGCACCTAAGGCGGACCGGCGGACCCGTTATGCGACTAGACGAATCGGCAAGTTTGAAGTCAACGATATCAGATTGAGCTCAAATTTGGTCGGCTGAAGCGAAACGGCGTGCTGATGAATACTCACGCCTTTGGCCGTGACTAATGATGGATTTTCGCGATTCGAGATTGTTTAGATGGGTTTTTCTATTTTTTTAGTATTTTTTATGGGTTAATTTAGTAAAGGGTAGTTTCGTAATTTTACGTTTTGATGTTTCCTAATCCTAATAGGGCTTGGTTTGGGGTTATATAAACTTGTTTTAGGGTTTCTTTTCAGCAGACTTGGATATTTTTGATTTGATAATCATATTTGGAGGACGAATTGTTCTTCTGTCGAATTTTCTTGTTCAGGCAATTTTTCTATCGCATTTCGGCATCATTACATGTACCAACATGAAGTCCAAGTATTCTTCTTTGATTGATTTGAAAATAAATTTTTAGAAGAAAAACAGATTTTTGTTCTGGACCAGTTTTATAAATGGAAATTAGACAATGACCAAGTCATCGCATCTAATCATCCTTCTCTTAGAAAAATAAAATTTGAACATCGAGAAACTGAAATAATAGCTTCTCCTTTCAAAACAGCTTCTGAAATAGACGGCATAAGGATCAAAAAAATTGTTGAACAAAATAATTTTTCAAATCAACATCTTCATACTCTAGGAAAACAATTAGACCGAATAGAAATTTCTGTCCAAAACAGCTTTTCATCCTCTTCAAAATTAACTTCTAAAAAGGATTTAAAACCACTGCTTTTTAAGAATTTTGAAATTCCAAAAAATCCCAGTCTTGAATTTGCTAAAGCTCTCGAAGATAGAAGAAAACTTCTCAAAGGAAAAGCACTTTTAAATCCTAAAAATCCTTTGATTTTAGATACTCCTTTAATTCAAAACCTGAGTGTTAAAGACACTCTTGATCGTGTTGAGCCTTCTAACCAAATAAATCTTCTAGATAAATCTGATACTGAATCAATCCCTGAAATTAACCGTATTACTTGGAAAGATCCCCAAAAATTATATTATTCCTGTGCTACTCCTCCTGACATTCTCACAGAAAAAACCTTTTCAAAAATCCAAAACAAATATTCTTCTGATGCAATTTATGAATGAAATATCGATGGTGTTTCTGAACAAAACCTCATAAATGTTTTAACTCAAATGATTATGCTTGCTAATACTTATAAAACCATCCTAAACACTTTTGACCATTCTGTTGCATATCTTTTAATAGCCGATTTTACTGGCCAGCTCAAAGGATGGTAGGATAACTACTTAAATAATGAGCAAAGGTCTCAAATTTTAAATGCCTATAAAGTCGACAATTTTGGTCAAAATATATTTGATGAAAACGACCAACCCATCCAAGATGCTATTAATACTATGATATTCTCTATATCCCAACATTTTCCAGGAGATTCTTCACATATTCTTGACAAAAATCAAGACCTTTTATCCAATATGAAATGTAGATCCTTAGGAGAGTTTAGAGAATATAAAGAAATATTTTTACAAAGAGTTCTCCAAAGAACAGATTGTAACCAACCCTTTTGAAAAGAAAAATTTCTTGCTGATTTACCAAAACTCATAGGAGAACAAGTTCGCAATAAGATAAGAGAAGAATATGGAAACCAAATTCCATATGACCATCTTTGTTATGGTGAATTAACCTCTTATGTTTATAAAATAGGAACACAATTATGTACCAACATTTGTCTTCAAAAACATATCAAAAAGGAACAAAAACTTTCTAATAAAGGATTAGGAGATTTTTGTGACCAGTATGATCCATCCTTTTAATCTTTTGAAAAATCTAAATTTTCAAGAAAATGTTTTCCTAGACAAAAGGATAAAAAAAATCTTATTAAAAAACTTATAAGAAGAAATTTGATAAAAAGTTTTCCAAGAAAAAGGAAAATGAAAGTTTTGATAAAACCAAGAAATCAAGAAAGAATTTTAAAAATATTACTTGCTATAATTGTGGTAAGAAAGGCCATACTTCTAGATATTGTAAAATTAGCAAAAAAGTTAATGAGTTAGATTTAGATGAAGAAACTATCAATTAGCTTAACCAAATAATGGCTGAAGCTGACAGCAGTTTTTCCGATGAATCTAGTTTTGAAAAAGGTTTGCAGATTTGTGATTTAGAAACCTCTTCATCCTCGACTTTAGAAAGTGAAGATGAAGATACCGCCAGTTTTGAAATAAATGTTTTAACAAAAGAAGAAAAAATTCTTTTGCAAACAATTGATCAAATCACTGATCCGGAAACAAAAATAAAATATTTAAATAATTTCCAAAAACCCAAGCCAGTTTTCCATTCTGATAATCCCTATAATATTTCTACCATACTTGGTAAAGAAAAGAAAGCAGGTTTCAAGCCCATTTCTATATCTTAATCACGAAATCAATAAACAAAAGCAAGAAATTCAATACACACACATAAAAGAACGTAAAAAATGAATTGAACTGGGCTCACCAAACCAGGTTGGAAGGTGCCGAGATAGCTTTGAGCGGAGGCAGGGAGCTTCAGCATGCGATTCCTCATGTAAGGATCGCAGGACAGGTAGAGATTCTTCACCAACACTCCCTTGGAGCCTTCAGAGACGGCTCTCGTCAGTTCGATGATCGATTCAGTCACTTCCATGTCCGACTCTTTAGGGAAGACGCCGTTCGTGACGAAGTCCCTGAATATCGCTTGCTTATTCCTCATTGCCTCCCCATTCTTACTCCCCATCCTTCCTTTTCTATTTTCTTTTCTCTCGACCCAAGAAGCTAAAAGTAAAGAGGTGTGGGTGGGTGTGTCTCTATATCTAGAGATTGATTGATGCTTCCCAACTGTGACCAACTATCACGACCTGGTACTTGGACTCTTTAAGTAACAAGACAACTGCAAAGGCACTTGCGCATGACAGAAGAGACAAGTCTCACAACAAGACACGCACAAAACTAGTCACTAGAAAAAGCACGAAGCTGACAGTGTTTATACATTACACGAACAACCATGTGCAACAACTCCTGCATTCGATCACCATGGAAAGGCATCTCCTATTGCTTTTAGTGCATCGGACCGGTTGTGACTTCCGAGACAAAGCGGCCCCTTAAACTTAAGAGAAGGTTACTGGGAATCTACTCCATGGGGTCACCAGCTACCATCGCCTCAATTACGCGAAGAACTGCTGCAGATTGGATGAACAGCTTCACTGTTTTCACATTTCGCCATTGTCTCTACAGCTTCCTAGATCTTCTCTTCCCAACAAGGTGGAAGATAAAATGGATGTCTCACTATATGTGGCATGTGAATGATTTTCTAAGTGGATGAAAGACGAGATTGAAAAAGGAAGGGGTAATGAGACAAATTGTGACATCCGGATTTTTCTTCGTATTTGATGACATTTAAGATATTAGGTTTGTGATAATTATTGAAGGAGATATAATTAATAGAATAATTATCAACAAGGACTGATATGCTCCTGAATACATATCGAATAATTTTCAAATATTAAAATTTTATTGAAATTAAGTGTCTTTATTGTTCTATGCCTTTTATTAATAATGATATTGGTTTTAAAATAATTTTCTAACTTACCAGCATTTCAAACGAATACCGATTTCCCTATGTATTTACCATATTGTAAAATACCTATCCAAAATAACATAATATGTCTAGCTTTTCAACCAAATCATGTCATTTGTTATTTTTAAGCTTGAACACATGTCTTATTTTTCCACTTAGTATTTAACCACATACTCTTAATTTTAAATCATTTAACTTAGCTCATGATGACATAATACATGACATATTATTTTGACGACTTCATGCGTGACATAAGTTTTTTTAACTCTAGTAACTTTATATCTATTAATAACCCTAGTTAATGCACAGTTAGGGTGCGTTTGGTAATCATTCTGCTTCCTGAAATAATTTCTGCTTAGAAATGATTTTTTTTATTCCATTCCCGAAAATAATTTCTAAGTATTTAAAGCCATTTGGTAATTATCCAAAATTTCTATATTTGGAATAGAAAAAGAACAGAAATGGATTTGGTAACTACACAAAAATTTCTTTTTATTAATAATATTTTAATTTTTTTAATGTTTCTTTCTTTTTTTGTCTTTTCTTTTTTTCTTCTTCTCCTTCCTTGGCCCATGGTTGTGCCAGCGACCGGCCACAGGCCAGGGCCAGCGAGGGCGTCGCGACCCTCGCCCAGGCTGTGAGCCGCCCTTGTCGAATCTCGAGGGTTACCCTCGCCCAGGCAGTGAGGGTCCAGCCCTTGCCAGATCTGGCGAGGGAGGCTTGGGCGAAGGTAGCTCACAACTTGGGCGAGGGTCGCCCTCGCCCAGGCCGTGAGCTGCCCTTGCCGGATTTAGCGAGGGTCCAGCGAGGGCGACTGTCACGCCTTGAACCCATGAACGCGATAACATCCAACCTTGGTCGTTAGAATGCGACATCACATGACTCGTCGCCGACCCAATCGATCTAACTTACGATTAAACGCATGCGGAAGCGAACTTCAATCACCCAACAACATTCAATAAACGGGATAGTAAGGAAAACAATTGATACACAACACAACGAAGTCATTTGTATAAATACAACGTTAACTCATGGAAGATGCAATATACAAGCCTAAGCAAGGCAGCTTCCTAACAAGACCATGGATAACAAAAAGGATCGAGTGGTCGGGTTAACTTAGCTTTGCTATCAAAAAGGGGGCGGTCCAAAAAGATAGGGTGTCCTAACCCATCATCAAACCCCGTGATACCCTGGTGGCGGCTCCGGATCAGACTTTATGTCATCCGAATCGGATAATAAGTAATCCGGGTCGGACTCCACTTTGTTCGCCTCGGAATCCATATCATCTGGGCCAGTATCCGGATCGTTAACAGCTTCATCTTGAGGTTTGAAATCCATGAGATTCCAAACCTCATCACCAGGACCATCATCAGGGGGTCCATCGAAGCCCCTTATCAAGCCAAACCGTCTATTGCCCTCCCTAATGAACTAGGCAACAAATTCATTCGGTTGCCATATCTTAAGCCCCTCGTAAACCCAGACGGTTGACATATGCTTCTCGTATACTCTACCTAGTCCCACCGGGCCGGAACTCTACTATTATCTTGGCCGTATCCATGAGCACGCCAAAGCGCATCGGAGGGCCACTCATACTCGGGAGTTTGAAAATATTTAAACAAACAACAATGAGATAAACTTAGTAAGTTAACGACCTAAGCCTCGATTAGGAGGTTAACTCATCTCGGATGCACCTAAAACATGCAACTCAGCCCGATGTACACAACATGCCATCACACAATCGTAAATAACCTTAGCTTGTCTTGGCACACGCCCTGCACGTTATAACATCATGTACCATGATAATTCCACATGCGTATAATGCAATCAGAATACGCAGCAACTTTCCCATGCACAATGCATTCACGCGTGTCCCGATTATAAGGTGAAATTGCTTCGGCCTGTTTTATACCGTGCCTCATAATTTTATCCCATAATTAAGCGCAATGCCACCACAATCTTTCATGCGTATTTAGATTACTACGGCCACACAAGGCAAGGCATAACCCGCATTATTCGCATCAGATTGGCCGTCTTCCAGCATAACCGGGCATCGTCCCACCCCGTCGGGCACGACATCGTCCCACCCTGTCGGGCACGACATCGTCTCACCCTACCTCAATGACGGCATCCCATAAATGGGTTTGTTCCAAATCCAATTCGCGAACGACTTCGTCTCCCTTGCCCCTGCGACGGCATCCAATTACCAAATTGAGGACACCTGTTAAGGCCACGGCCAAACCCTAGGTTGGCGGTCATCCGGTATAACCAGGCACGAAAGGAACCTTTAGGTGATCATGCACACATAGCAATCACTCAAGTCCCATTGTTATCTTTCTCAATTAGCCAATGCAGACAGGATCCGTGCTAATACGTCAATATATTGCAATTTTCACACGTAAAAATGCACTAGAATAATCACACGTGATAACGTACATATAATTAAATCATCAAACTTGGCATGCTTCCATATTTAAATATCCTCATCCTATTCCACTCATAAAATTTGACATATAAACTCGATACCTCGGGATTTACTGTTCATATACCCGCACTTCCATCCTTAAAATAGCAATACAATTCATTTAGCTATACAAGCTAATTTATATGGAAATTTCCAACATAGGCATCACAATTCAAGCTTAAAACAATCACAATTTATTATTAAACTCTACACAAAAATATTAATAAAATATTAATATTTAAATTCCGAAAATTAATTTATTTAATAATAAAATATTAATTATAAAATAATCCGATAGCTTATTGTCAAATCGTCGATTGCTTGTCGCAATATCCTTTATAGTTTATCGTAATATCCTTGATAGCTTATTGCAATATTGGTGATAGCTTATCACTACAAATTCAATAGCTTATTGTATTTTCTCGATAACTTATCGAGTCCACTTATCACTTATTGCAATAACTTATCGACTAATCCTTAATTAATTAGTACTAAACATAATTAGCTTAAACTAACTCATCCTAATCAAGTTTAACCTACTAATCAAGGGATTAGTGCCATAACTCACCCGTTAGTGATTCCGATTACACGGACGTGACGGCAGTGGCGAGGGCTAGGCGTGGCACGGTCCGAAACGACACGACAACGACAACGGCGGTCTTGGTCTGGGCGACGAACAAAGAATCGCGGCGGTTGTTTTAGCTTAGCGGGGCTCGGTTGAATGGCGAAAATGGCTCGGACAGGTGGCGTATGGCTCGGGCGAACACGGCGAGCCGCCGGTGGTTCTGTGGTGGTGCACGCGGAAGAAGAACAAGAGCCCAAAGGCTGTTTCGTCTGTGGCCGAATGAGGAAAGAAAAAAGGAAGGAAAAGAAGGGAAGTTGCCGTGGAAGAGAAAGAGGAGAGAGAGATGGCCGAATGAAGGAGGTGAGGACAGAGAGTGAGTGAGATGAGAGATTAAGAGAGATATTTCTCTCATTAAAGCCATGCCCTTCAAATCTTCTTCATCATTTCCCCACAAAAATGCCAAGCCCAAAGTCTTAATGCATTAAACCCTTTTGTTTCTTGGTCATAAATGCTAGAAGGGTAAAATGGTAATTTCACAAGATATAAAAATACTATACACGTATACGAGTTAGAATTTTGTACGGGCTCATATAAATTAAGTTTGGGCTCAAACGGATAAGGAATGGGCTTGAAAATGCTATCAGGCTCAAACTTGGGCTTGAAAATAGAAAATGGGCTTAGTGGGCTTCATTGGGCCCAATGGGGTTGTCTTGGGCCCAAATGGCTGAACCACATTGGGCTTGAGGCCCAATGTGCCTTTGTCCGACCCACTTCCTCGTGGGCTCTAAATTCTCGGCTCGTTAATCCTTTTCCGAGAATTCCGAGCAAACCGATAAATCGGAAGATTAAAGAGGCGACGTCCAATAGTTTAGTCTTGAAATTCTCGAAAGATCAATACCCAATTTCGGACTGTAATTAATGGTCAAAATCGATCGATTGCGGCTTTAGTATATCTCAAACTAACGAGCGGCTTTTAGGAGTTACGCGTATTCGACCCATGGTTGACTTGATATCAATTCATGTTTAAGTTTTCTCGAATCATGGATGATCTCGATTGTCGTGTAATTGCGATGGGTCAATCACTAGTTCCGAAGTAGACGATCATTAGGAATTGGTTTAGGGTCGTTCGCAATC